AACATTCTACCTCAAACGTCTTAATAATATTCACTGTGGGTTTTTTGTGTTTTTCCCTTCGGCAGCCACTTTGTGAAGATGAAGGCCGCCTTGCTGGTGGAGCAGCGGCAGCTGGAGGACAAGATCCGACTGGGAGAAGAGCAGCTGAGGGGGCTGAGGGAGAGCCTGGGACTGGGGCTGGGAATGGGCATGGGCATGTCGATGGGATATGGACAATATTAGGAACAACAAAGCTTGAAAGCGGAGAAGAAGGAAGGTTTTTTTTTTTTTTGTAGACTTTACTTGGATATGAAGAAAAGGAGGTTTGGTGATTACGATTTCATCTGTCTGAGAAAAGGATGCATCATCAATTTTCGTCGTGAACCTCCGCTCTTATTTTGAAGGAAAACTGCATCACTTGTTTTGAGACCAAGTATGAAACCATTGCTAGGAGCTGATTAACTTGGAAATAACTGGGCTGGCTCCATCTGCAGATAGCGAAATCGTCACCTTGTTTAAAACTGACTGCATCACAGATTTCTGAAGTCTTCATGTAGCTTCACATTTAGCACCTCGAACTGCTTTTTTAAGGTTTAGCAGACCTGTACGCAGAGAATTCAGGTCCAACACAAACAGCTGTATCAGCACCCTGCAAGGGTCTAAGTAGGTGAGAAGGAATGGAGGTCTCTCAACAACAGAGACCAGGAGAGAGGCACGAGTCCAAGGTGTCAAAATGAAAAAAGACGGGGAAAAAAAGACTGTTATTATCATTAACTACAGACTGCAGTGGAGGGATAAATCTAAAGATCTACCAAAACATATCAACAATTAATCTCCAGGATATGCGATCTGAGAGCACAGAGCATGCTCAGTGTTGGAAATGGGGGGCGATCTGTGAGTGAAACAGCTGGTGAAGATTCATAGTGAGCGGCTTCTCGTGGACCGAACGGACACGTGAGAAAATGTTGTACCCTCTGCTTCACGTTATGAACCACGTACTGTAACATTTATTGTCCTCTAACCAGTATCGCGCCACGCTGCCAAAGACATTTTTGCTTGTTGAATGTGTCACTAAGACGCTGCTCACTTTGTTGTTGTTGTTTTTAATGTATTTAAATCTCCTGGTTCAGAGAATTACAGGATTTTTTTGGTGCTTACATTAACCACACTAAAGCCAATATTGTGAAATGCCATTTGCAGGATTATTAACAGCTAAACATGTCATTTCTACAGCCTTCAGCAACACATATACTGTTTTATCTAAGCATCATATTGTCATATCACTTTATATTCTTTTTACTGTAATGTCTGTGGCTGTAAACATGTTACTGTGTGGAGTTTGACACTTCACTGACTTGTTCTGCCATGGAGTGACCGTTATGTACAGAAGATGCGTGTTTATAATGTATATAGCGGTTTTGATATTTGAAATGACTGGAATAGGTTGTAAAAGATGAGAAAGAAGACCGGAAGGAGTTGAAGTTTACTGTATATTTTGGCAGTGGATGAATCCAGATAAGTGTTTGGTTTGTGCTAAACTAAACTTTGTGTATCCTTTTTCATTTTTTCTGTCCAATAAGCTTGTTCAAGCAACTGTAAAGTTTTAAAAATGTTTTTAAGTCCACCATTTTTGCCCTAAAATTTGTATTCGAGTCCCAAATGTTGTATAAATTTTGGCTATTTTTGATAAGAAGATTTAAACCCTGTCAAACCCTTTCAGTATATATACGGCTACATCTAGCAGCCAGTTAGCTTAGTTTAGCATTAATGACAAGCTCGACTCTTTTTCTGCCAGCAAAGTTAAATAATTAACACATTGTATTTTGTTTATTAATCCATAAACAAAGGATTGAACATGTGAAAACTGCAGTGTTTTAAAGCTCTACCTCTTGATGCTAATGGAGCTAGCACCTTGGTATTTAGGATTTAGCGGCTAATTGTTTTAAGTTGTTTATTTTAGCCTTGTTTTAAAGTTCAGCTCAAATTAAACAAAACCAATCTAATCAGTGAGTCATAAAGTAAATGTTAAACACAGTTTAATATGAATTATTATAAAAGTATAAGGTAAGTTGATACTGGAACAAAAGTGTAAAGACCTAGCTACTTGATGCGTAGTTGTTTTAGCTTGTTTTGGTTTTGTTTTAACTTTTAGGTTAACCACAAAAAAACACAAAATAAACCATAAATAACCATTAAACTGTTTAAATATAAATTAAATTTAGATGAATTAAAATTATATGAATAAAGCAAGCTGGATACAATGTGTTAAATATTGAGCTTTAAAGTGCAGTTTGTACACATTAAACAAACAAAATGCAGTGTTCCCTTGTTTCAAGTCTTTCTGCTAAGATAAGCTAAGCTAACACGCTCTTGGAAGTAGATTGATATATGTGGTGTCAGTTTTCTCATCTACATTTTATCTAGAGAGCAGATACAACCCGTTTGAAAACTGAAATTTGTGGTTTTTGTTGACAAAATGGAGAGAATTCAGCTTTCCTGAAAGGGAGAAGAACTTCTAGTTAATTGTTTATTGTTACAACCCTCCATTAAACTTTAAAACAACTTCTGTCTTGTAATTTGGGATTTGTTGCCAAAATCCAATTCCAAGCTTTTTCCGCTGGCCTAAACCTCAGAAAGGAGTCCAGACCTGCCTGTCTGAATAAATACAAATTCAAAACTAGAAGAGCAAACCCCATTCCAAAGATTTCTAAGGAAAGTGATGCTGAAGGGAAATGAAACGGCTCTTAAACGCTTTGGTCCAATCTGTTTGATCATTTAATTATTGATCAACTGAAGCAAAGAACAAACCTACATTTTATTCCATTATCATTTTGTTTTCTTAAGATGTCCAGTTAATGTTACTCCCATGTTTTGTACATATTAAATGTATTCCTGCTCTATAAATTGACTGGAAATGTACTGATTTGAAAGGAGAGGGACAGAAAGTTGCTTATTGGACCTGAGAAAGAGAATAATTCTTCTGTTCATGTTTCCATCTGCCATTTTGATTTAATACAAACCATTTTTTTGTCTCTTTTTGTAACATGCATTACTGAAAAGGCCTGTTTTATAACTGCAAAAACACTCATCTGAGGAAAAAGTACCATAAATAATAATAATGATATTTTAAACCAGCTTTGGGTCTCCTGCTGTGATTTATGCCCTCATGGGTAAAAGCTCTCTTCAACTTGTCCGGTGCTGAAATGTGTTTTCCTCTTGGGGCGGGGCCATTCTTCAAATGTGGTTGGACGAAATACGGGGTAAATGGAGGTTGACTTATGACGAGGGGGAGTCATTCAGGAGCTCTGTGGGATCTGGGGAGTTCTCCTGAAGGGAAACGATCTCTGTGTCATTAATACTGATGCTCTGTCTAAATTGCTGAATGGAGCAGAGGCCAGGAAATACAATATTAACGTACAGTGTCGTGAGTTGTACGTTTAAGGAGCAAAACCGCCCCAGTTTAATGTTTTGGTAACTACCAAAATTATTTTTTATATTGGTTTAATGGTTAATTCACCAGATACACAAGCTACAAGCTATTTAACTAAAATGATGTTCTTAATGTTAAAATATAATTATTGTTATTAATGAATTCTGAAAATTACCATTTATAAAAAAAACAATAATAAAGCACATTATTATTATTATTCATATTATTGTTATTATTTTGTCCAATTGCAGTTAATTACTTGCATTCCTGAACAGAAAAAAATTGTATTTGCAATTTGTATTCAGCGTTTTCATAAAAGTTTATTTTTTATGCATTTGCTACTACTAAGGTCATGTGGTTTAAGGTCTTTTGTCCTCCTCACTGGAAAGTGAGTGAAAATAAAAATGGGTGTCATTTTACAGATTCTGCACTCAGGTCCGTATTAGTGAAATGCATCCAGATTCTGCTCTTTTTCTGATTCTGCCCATTTCTTCACTTTCCCGATGAACTTGCATTTAAATCCAGCCCTCTGTACTACTGCAGTCTCTGTCCTTGGAGCATCTTTCTCCCTCCCCTCTTTCTTTCACATAGTGGTATGATCCTAGTCTGGCTTGGAATGTGATGATGATGACCACAGATGGGCAGTAACGCGTTACTGTAATCCAATTACTTTTTTCAAATAACGAGTAATGTAAGGGATTACTATTGCAAAAATGTAATTAGATTTCTGTTACTTTCCCGTAAGCACACTGCGTTACTGTGTTACTAAACCATCGTGATTTTGTTTGTGAGAGTGTCTCATGACAATGACGTAAACCTGGGGCGATTCTAGGATCAGAGCTTTGGGGGTGCTGAGCACCCAGAGAGCTGCCCAGCCAGGCAAGATAAACTTTACTCATCACGATAAGACTTCTTCTCTGTTAATCCCTGCATCCACCCGAACTCCTCCACAGCATGCATTTTTAATTTCTCTTTGATATTTGGGCTGATTGGGACCTGATGAATGTAAAAACAAAGTTGTTGTTGTTTTTTACCTGATTTTTGTTTCTAAGAAATTTCGATAGAACAGTAGCAGTATATTGTCCTCGTAAGTGGCTATCAGGCCCTTGTAGAGCAAAATTGAGTATTTTGGTCTAAATAACCCACATATGTGGACGCCAGGTCATAGGAGGTTAAATGTCTCCAGTTCTCTCTGACTGTCTCTTTGGTGCATTTAAACCCCTGTTCCTCCCTGTCCTCGTCGTCTGTTGTCCTCATCTCTGTTATCAGTCATCATCATTTTACCATCTCTGTGCAAGTCTGCAAATTATGTTATTAAATCATAAGATTCTTAAATTCATCAAGTCTCTCTGTGCCTGGGTCCTTTTCACAAAACATGACATCACTGTGTTGTACATTTTAACACAATTTAATCCCCACATTTGTGAAAGTCTGTAACAAAACCATCAAATCTGATAAAGGTTATTTAAATGCTGCAAAAGAAGAATGGATTGGAATAAAAATACATATCCTAACCTTAATTACTGGGGGAGAATAATGAATGATGCTCATAGTGAGTAAAAAGTAAACTGAGTGCATTTTTTGGACAGAGATTCACTTTTAATGTGTATGTATAATATAATACAGATACATTAAAAAATACACTCCAAAAATAGAAGAGTCCATGAAATGTACAAATGTGCAAAATATTAATAAAAAAATTATAAAAATTGAGGCAACTTTGCCTATAGTACAATGTATAGAATGTATGAAAAAAGATCTTTACTGCAGATACTAATTTTGTGTTGTAAGATTTATAAGTTTCATGCTTTCATAGTGGTACTTAGGAGAGCTTGACATTTTTATCAGGTGGTACACACTGTAAAAAGTTTGAGAAACACTGATAAGTGTATGTGTGCTTTTGGAAAACATTTAAAGCTGCTATACAGAATCTTAACAAGCTTAAAACATTTTTAGAATATAAACTGCTTCTCTTTACAGCTCCTCACTCCACCAGG